GAGGTTGGAAGCTCAAGTCCTCTTTCCCTACAATGCAGCCCACAAAGATCAGAGAAGCAGGGGACATCCAAGCCATCATTTAACAGGGCAGGGCAATGTTCTTGAGCTACAGGACCCTGGTTCTCTCATAGGACTCTAATAGGATGTTGGTCAGATATCTCTCTGTGGTCAGTGCTGGGGTAGGGATGGGGAGGAGGAGGATGTCCAATAAACATTGACTAGAAGAAAGATTCTGGAAGGAGATTTCTCATCTTCTTTGAGCTCTAGAATTTTCTCAGTGCTGTCGGATTGGGGGAGGCCTAGACGAAAGAATCAGGGGGCAGAGGAGCAGATGGTGGGGTGGTGTGTGCCCATGGTGAGTGGTGGTAAATGCACAAGTGGATATGGGAGGATGAAGGAACAAATGGGTAAATGAAGCAGCAAATGTGCTTCCTGGATTCTGAGAACCAAACATAAGAAACATGTCTTTGGCCTGTAATTGTGTATGGCCTCCACGTCAGGGGAAGTGAGCTGAATTCAGAGCCCATTTTTGGATGTTGGGCATGGTGGCACACACCTATAATCCCAGCACACAGGAGGCTGAGGCAAGAGGATTGCCAAGAGTTCACAGCCAGCCTGAACTACATAGTAAGACTCTGTCTCAAAATAAAACAACACAAAACAACCAACCAAGCAAGCAAACAAAATAACCAGAGTCCACTTTGGGAGTTATGAGACAGTGGTACAGAGCCATCAACAGAACAGACAGGGTGGGAGTGGGGTGGTATGTGACACGGCGGGAATGGAGAATGCAGGAAGTGGTCCTTTAGGATTCAGGCAATTAGAATTACTTTGTGCTCCACAGAATGTTACTATTGCCAATGAAACCCCTCCATGTTGTTCTCCTAGGATTGTTCTATCCTGGACTGCCTTCCAGGAATGTGCTCACACTGATTTCTCTCTTCTAACATCCCGTGAGACAATATTTACAAGGAAGGATAAGCTTTGGGGACACACTGGCTCTTCAGTTAAGCTATGAATGGCTGCTCAGTGCGCCAGAGCCACAGGTTGGAAAGGAGCTTCAAGATTATCTCCAAATGGGGCCTTTTTGGACCCAAAACCACAGGTCCAGGAGAATAGATGACCTTCCCAGGTCACACGGCAGGGGTGAGGATCCCAGCCCTGGATTTTATCCCAAGTTACGAATCTGCAGCTTGCTCTTCCCCACCCATCCAGCAGCACTGAGACTACCATTCCCTTGGGATTTTCTGCTCCCCTGGGGAAGGTTTCACATTTCCTCTGTCCCTGCTCTCAGTGAGGATGAGGAGGATCTGGAAGTCCTAGGGAGCCCCTCTCCAAGCCTCCTCCCTGGGAGCCCATGCTGCCAGATCTGGCTTCCCAGCCTCCCTGGATGTGCTCAACCAGATAAGAGTCCAGGAGGAGCAGGGGGAACTCGAACTGGAGATGGGAGAGGGGAGGAGGGGCTGGGAATGGACAGTGACCTATCACCCAGTGCACACCCAGTGCACACCCAGTGCTCTTCTGGGCAAGTGTAGTCCTCACTGACTCTCACAGCCCCACGACATAGCACATGTGGGCCCCATGTTACCGATGAAAACCCTGAGGCCTGCTGAAGTGGCCCGGGGGCTGGTCAGGGATTAGAATCCAGGTCTCCTTGACCCCAAGCCCTCACTGGGTCAAAGCCCTCAACAATGTGCTGTGTTGCAACGCTACCAGGCATTCTCCAGAGCCACCCAGGAGGAGCTGGAATTGCTCTCTCAAAGACCCAGATCAACGGCCGGGGATTTAGCTCAGTGGTTTCGCTGCCTGCTGCGCAAGCGCAAGGATCCAAGTTTGATCCCTGGTACCAAGAAAAAAAAAAAAAGGACCCAGATCAACAAGGCCAAGACTGACAAAGATGAATGCAAAGTACTACACTCCATTTCCAAAAGTCACTTGCACAGTGGGTCCTGGGCAGTGGACCCATCAGAATAAATACTGTCCTACTCATTATCCCACTGCTGCTGGCGCCTCATTTTCCCATAGCACTTGTAGTTTATGTTGCCCCTTTGCTGGCCCATCTTAAGGTTCTAACTGACCATAAACAAGCACAGTCTTAGGGTGGGGGGATCAGTGTGAGCACTGCTGTGTGTGGCTGCTAATGGGCTGTTCTATCATTGACCCAGTGTAAAAGCAACAGATTTTATGCCCAGCCACTATGCTAAATATAATACGTTTCTTCACATTTAATGCCCCCAACAACCCTATAGGGTTGTGACTATTATAATTTCTATTTACAGGTCAGAAAGCCAAGAAATAGAAAGTTGGCCAAGGTCACACAGCAAATAAGTAGTAGAATTCAGGCTAAGGACTGAGAAATACCAAGACAAATGTCATTCTGAACATTTTAGGCCCACTTCAGAGTCATGTGTTTACTTCTGTGTAACATGTTTAAGGTAGACATTGACAACACAGAGGAATGAGGGATATCATCACCCTATCGATTGTTTAGAGAGGCTAAGAATATTTATCCCAGAAAAGAAAATCATGGAAGAGCATACAATTGCTGTTTTCAGAGAAGAAAGTTCCTCTTCTTGGAGTTCAACATTTACCAACCTACAACCAACTGCTGTTGCCGCCTACTGGTGGGAGGTAGCATGGTTGCGCTGAGATCAGCTACCTAACTCTTTAGAGCCACAGAAGTTTGAATTCAGCCTTTATACCCAGAAGTGCTCTGAAACCTGACAGGTTGTCATGTGGAAGGGATAGCAAGATAGCAGAAAACAACTAGAACCAATGGATGAACATTGCAAGGTGCCAACATGATGGGCAGTTTTCTGACAAAACTTCTCAGTAACTCAAAAGGACTGCTTAGGAACAGTGAGGCTCCTGTCTCTGGAGATGAGTCATGCTGAGTCTCCCATCTCCCAGGTGATTGGCAGAAATCAATCCCAGTGTCTTAGTACATCAGGGGCTTTCTTTTTTGTTTTTTGGGTTTTTTGTTTGTTTGTTTTGGTACCGGGGATCGAACTCAGGACCTTGCGCTTGCAAGACAGGCACCAGAACCACTGAGCTAAATCCCCAGCCCAGGGGCTTTCTTTTTTATGGTGATACTGAAATATGTTTTATTATCAAGCTTTTTGAGAGTATTCACAAAAAGTGGGATGTAACAAAAATATAAAAACTAAACAGTATCATTATAGACTACTTCGTACATTATCAAATGTTTTTAGTAATAAATTTCTTTATTTTTTGAGACAGGGTCTCTCCATGCAGTTCAGGCTGGCCTTTAACTCATTAGGTGTCCCCAGCTGGCCTGGAACTCTTGGAGATCCTCCTGCCTCAGCCTCCCAAGTGCTGGGGTTACAGGTGTGCACCACCATACCCAGTGTAACAGTTATTTTTATTTTTATTTTTTTGTGGGGGGGTACCGGAGATCAAACTCAGGACTTTACGCTTGCAAGGCAGGCAGCAGCACCACTGAGCTAAATCCCCGGCCCAACAATTATTTTTTATACAAAAACAATTTGACTTCAAAACATAAGGTTATCCGGGTCATACATTGGCTGGAGTAAATACTTCATTCCAAATTATCTGACAATGCCTTTACAAAATATATTCAGAAAACTTTTTAGGCATGCAATAAAAAGTGCAATTAATTCCATGGCTTGTGAAGTTTGATTATATAAGTATAGCAAATGAACATAATTCCAGTTATTTTCACTGTATGGAGTCAACCACAGTAGGTCACCTAGAGACTCAACATTATTCCACTTTGTGCATGTTCATAGACTTACTGTAGAGAAATCTGGGAACTCATTCTCCATCACAGGAAATCCATTAATAAAAAGATTTCTTGCCTGGCATGGTGGCACACGCCTGTTATCCTGGCACTTGGGAGGCTGAGGCAGGAGGATTGCTGTGAGTTCAAGGCCAAGCTGAACTACATAGTGAGACCTTATCTCCAAAAAAAAAAAGATTTTTTCAAAATTAATCTGGCTAAGTCTTTGCAACCAGTATGTGAGAGCAAATTACTGAAATAGGTGGACTGTCTCCCAGAGATTTGAATACATAGGACGGCATAATGGCCAGGTAGGTTAGAGGACTCTGGGGACATCCAGACCACACTGACTGCACAAACTTCAGCAGCATCAAGGGCTTTCGTGAGTTGCAGTTGGCCATTTGTGGGGTATCTGCTGGGGTTGGGAGTGTGTTTTCTGTCTTACCCAGGGAGGACCTTGTAAGCCAGGCAAGAGGGAAGAGGGTACTATGGGTGCAGAACAGCGGAGTGGCAGCATTTACCTTCCCGATAATGGCTCTTACACTTGACCAAGGGACAGTCAGAGGGATGACTCAATAAGTAAATGATCATAACCCTCCACCACTCCCCAAACTGACCTCTCACTCGAGGCCATTTGTAAACAGCCCAAGGGAACAACAGTTCCTTGTGGATTCTGTAAATGTGACTAAAGCTTTGGCTGAAAACAGAGAGTCAGAGAGAGGCCAAGAACAGGGACCAGTAGGGTAGGAGTCAGGGTCAGGAGCCCAGGGCAAGGGCTCGGGCTCTGCCTGCTGAGCCCCAGCCTGTGTGGGTTTTCTCTCCCCTATACCTCAGACATTCCCCAGGAAGGTTCACGGAGAAGGGGCTGTGAAATCAGACAGGCCCCAGCCTGAGTCTTAGGATGCTTATCCCGTTAGCCTTGTGAAGTCTAGGGGGGTCTCTGCTCCACTCTGAATCCCAGCTCCCTTCTCTGTAGAGTGTTCCCATTGACTGCACCCTCCTTGCTAGATAGGTCTGAGGATTAAATGAGCTCATTTAAATAGCACTGAGTGTGCTATTGTTGTTGTTATTATTAAATTAACCTATCTCTGTGAAGCCAGCCTCACCCTCCCTGATCCCCGTTTTCTGCCCCCGCCAACTACTGGAACTCACTGGCAGGCGCTGGGGCCCACACACAACAACTCCCACATCTTCGGCTTCATTGCTCCACCACCCTCCCTCCCACCTTCTCTGATGGCAGGAACAGAGATGTCATTGAGAGCCTGCAGCCTTGGATGAGGCGAGATCTGCTCTGGGATCGCTCACTCTTCTCCCACCAAGAGGAAGGACAGGGTCCACCCCAGAGAGAGCCTGCACCTGGAACTCAGCATCCAAGAGGTCTCCCCTGAAGGACCTGCAGAGGAGCCTGGGTCCTGTGACTTTAGCAGGCAGCATCACTGGTCAGTGCTTGTGCGAGTATGTGCACGCATGTGTGTGTGCATGGATTCTTGCAGTGACTGGGGCATCTCAGGGGCCCGAAGGCGCAGTCTTTGTAGTTTGCAAGACCTAGGTTCAAATGTCAGCTGTGCAGGTTCCATGCTGCATGATTACAGAGGGGGAGCATTATGACCCCAAGTCTTAAAATCCTCATTTAAAATGAAATGAAAGGAAACCCTGTCTTAAATGGCATTTTCCTAATCAGCACATGGTTAAGAAATATCTGGCACAAGGTCATGGCAAGTGGCAGCTGTTTTGTTGGTGCCTTGTTTTTGGTGTGTGTGTTGGGTTAACCATGGATATATCCTCAAGTACCCTTTGGGCTATGCAATGATTATGTTGCATCTCTCTCGCTAAGTGAACTTTGGTCAGTGTCCACGTACTTGTATCTCTGTTTTTAAAAGAAATTATAGTTGGGGATTTAGCTCAGTTGTTCCGGTACCTGCTGCACAAGCACAAGGTCCTGAGTTCAGTCCCTGGTACCAGAAAAAAATAATTCATAAAAGAAATTATAGGGCCTGGGATTTAGCTCACTGGTTCTGCCACCTGCCTCACAAGTGCAAGGTCCTGAGTTCAATCCCCAGTACCAAAAAAAAGAAAAAGAAAAGAAATTATAAAGCCAAGCATGATGGCACACACACCTGTAATCCCAGCACTCAGAAGGCTGAGGCAGGAGGATCGCCATGAGTTCAAGCCCAGCTTAGGCTACACGGTGAGTTCAAGGTCAGCCTGAACCACATAGCAAGACCTGGTCTCAAAAAACCAAGAATGAATGAATAAATAAATAAATAAGAAGAAAGCATCGCAGATAAATTTTCTCAGCTTGGTTCTGGTGGGGATAGAAGCAGAACGTTTAGGCAAATGGATACAAACACCGTTTGTGTGTTAGAATGGACAACAGTATTCAGGATGGACATCTCTCCTTAGGAATAAGCTTCTTCGCTAAATTCTCTTATTTGTCCATGTTTGTTTGTTTGAGGCAGGCTGTTTAGGCTGACCTTGAACTCACTATGTAGCCAAGGCTGGCCTGGAACTTGCAGTGATCCTCCTGCCACAGCCTCCTGAGTCCTGGGATTACAGGTGTGCGCCACTATGCCCAGCCTGTCCATGTTTATTGTTATAGAAAGGACTTTTCTTTGATTTGAGCTCCAAATCCCCCAGCTTTAATTCATGAATGCCTACCATAATACTTAGAGCTACCATTTTTTTGTTTTGTTTTGTCTTTTTGTTTTTTGAAACAGAGTCTCGCTGTGTAGTTCAGCCTAGCCTAGAACTCACTATGTAGCCCAGGCTGGCCTTGAGCTCACTGCGATTCTCTTGCCTCAACCTCCCGAGTGAAGGGATTACAGTTCCCCTTTTTTTTTTTTTTCTTGCACATGAACATACTTTCCTCACTTGGCCTCTGACCCGCATCTCCCATGGGGAAAGGCCCCTCATTTTACAGATGAGAAAATGAAGTGGGCAAGGGGATTCGATTCCTTGCTCCAGTCCCTCCACTGGCAAAGATGAGAAGAGCTGGACACTGTTCAGGGGAAGTGGAAGATGTAAAAAGATCCAGGGCCGGGGATTTACCTCAGTGGTTCTGCTGCTTGCCTCACAAGCTCAAGGACCTGAATTCGAGCCCCGGTACCAAAAAAAAAAAAAAATCCAGAAACAGTCTCTATCTTCAAGGACCTGACGATGGCCATGAAGACAAAGCGAATGCAACTTGTGCCCAGGTGGCGATTCCTGCTGTGGAGGAGAGGACAGTCACACGCTGTGTCTGGGTGGGGGTCTTCCAGCGGGGAAGGCTGGCCGAGTTTGGAAGCTGTGCTCATTCCGCTAGGAGCAGTGGATGGTGGTGGGCCAGGCCTGTTGAAGGCAGTGAGGAGCCCAGAACACCAGGTGGGAAGACAGGTGTGCGGGTGTGGGGAAGTCAGGAAGGAGCCTGCGCCGTGGGAGGACCAATGGTCCGCCGGGTCTTTGGAAGGACAGAGCCGGGCAGGGCTGTACAGGGCCCTGGGTTGAAAGGGTTGGGGAGGCTGAGAGGTGAAGGCAGAGCCCGAGCTGTGGACCAACAGGGCCTGGCCACAGCCCCAGGATCCCCAGATGGGCTGCCCCAGTGGATGCCGCAGGCGGGATACTCACCCGTTTCATCTGACTGGGAGAGAGGGAAACTAAAGCCTGGGGTGGGGATTCTCAGGGAGCCCCACTGTGAGAGTGGGGGGCCACAGCCTGGGCAGCTGCAGGGACAACGAAGACCAGGCGGGATGGGGCCCAGGTGGAGAGGCAGCTCTGCAGAGGCCAGTGCGTGTCGCCGAGAGGCTGGAAACAGGGTGGACACCGGGGAAGGGCTTTTTCTGCCAGTTATAGAAGCATGCACAAGCTGGGCATGGTGGTGCATGCCTGTAACCCCAGCACTCAGGAGGCTGAGGCGGGAAGATCACCAGCCTGGGCTACATAGTGAGTTCAACCATAGCAAGCATAGCATAGCACAGACCCTGTCTCAAACAAACAAACAAACAAACAAAAAACAGCATGCACAGCGGGAGATGATTGTTACTTGAGCCCCAGAATGGCATGATCAAACCTACAGTCTCTCACTAGAAAATGAGCCTCCAAGGCAGGCTTTCTGTTTCATTTCCAGTGTACTCCCAGCACCTGGCACATCACCAGGTGGCTTAGTGGCTTCTCAGTTGATACTTGTTTCATAAATATGTAGGACTCTGATAGATACAATGCTTATTTTTTGTGTGGTTTTTTTCTTTTGGTACCGGGGATCGAACGTGGGACCTTGCGCTTGCGCAGCAGGCGCTGGAACCACTGAGCTAAATCCCTGGCCCCTACAATGGCTATAGATATATACTGTGTAGCGAGTATTTTAAAACTTTGTTGAGATGATGGTCAAGGTAGTGGTTACTTGAGGAAGAGAAGAAATGGGATTGAGACAGAAGAGACTTAACTTCATCTCATTTTTAAAAAATAATTCATGCTGGTGTTGTGGTACACACCTCCACTTAGGAGGCTGAGGCAGGAGGATCACAAAATTGACCCCAACGTGAGCAACTTAATGACTTAATAAGGTCTTGTTTCAAAAAAAAAAAAAGAGCTGGGTTATAGTTCAATGTAGAAGACCTAAGTTCAATCCCCAGTCCACCAAAAAACAAAAAGCCGTGATGAAAATATAACTAAATATTTATTAAACCTGAGTGATAGATCCATGGGCTCCTATTGTATTAATTTTCATAATTTTAAGAGTTCTTAGCCTGGGCCAGGGATTTAGCTCAGTGGTTTCGCCACCTGCCTAGCAAGCTCAAGGACCCAAGTTTGATCCCCGGTACCAAAAAAAAAAAAAAAAAAGAGTTCTTAGCCAATTGCAGTGGCACAATCTGTAATCCCAGAACTCTAGGAAGCTGAGGCAGGAGGAGTCCCACCTGGGCAACTTAGTGAAACTATGTCTCAAAACAAAAATATTAAAAGGGGCCAGGCGTGGTGGCACATACCTGCAAACCCAGCACATGGGAGGCTGAGGTAGGAGGGTCACTGTGAGTTTGAGGCCAGCCTGAGCTACATAGTGAGACTCTGTCTCAAAAAAAACAAAATAAATACAAATATTAAAAGGGCTGGGGATGTAGCTCAGTGTGAAGGTCCTGGCTTCAATCCACAGTACTAAAAAAAATTTTCTTACTATTAAGGCAATGGGGAGCCCAGAAGGCCAGGCAGGAAGACAAGTTTGCAGGTGCAGAGAGGTCAGGTTTTTATTTTATTTAAAAATAAAATAGGGGCTGGGGATTTAGCTCAGTGGTTCTGCCATCTGCCTCGAAAGCACAAGGGCCCAAGTTCCATCCCCGGTACCAAAAATAAATTTAAAAATAAAATAAAATAGGGGCTGGGGATTTAGCTCAGTGGTTCCAGTGCCTGCTTCGCAAGCACAAGGTCCTGAGTTTGATCCCACGTACCAAAAATAAAATAAAATAAATGTATGCAAAAATATTTTTTAATGTATAGACTATCTCTTCTCCAGAAGATGGAGCAGCTGCGTTGGGGGCTCATGATGTCTCGGGGTTACCATAGGCCTGGATAACTCTCTTGACATAGACCCCCCCCACCCCGTGGGCCTCCACGGTGTCTGCAGCCACAGGGAACGTGTACTGGAAATGGCGGTTCACAGACAGGAATGGTGCCACCCAAGTGGGAGGCCAGCTCTCTGGAGGCTGAGGCAGAAAGGTCATTTGGGCGCAGGAGTTGCAACACAGCAAGACTCTGTCTCAAAAAAAAAAATCCTGTTTTTTTAATCTCTTTTCTTAACCCTATAGTTTAGAGCGATTACTTATAATTGTCTTTTAAAATAAATGGCTTTTAAATTCATGTTGAAGCCTTTGACACAATTGGGACTATGTTGTATTTTTCACAACTATATAATTGACAGGATTTTTTTTTTTGGTACCAGGAATCGAACTAGGGTCCTTGCACTTGTGCAGCAGGCGGCAAAACCACTGAGCTAAATCCCCGGCCTTACTTATAATTGTCATATAATTGCCATATATATAACTCTTGGTGGAGGACCCCAACACTTCCTTGTGGCGGCATGACATTGCATTAACCACACACTCCCTGGCTCCCCCCTCTAGTATAACATTGTAAGATTCTGATTTCTTTTTTTCTGAGACAGATTCTCACTACATTGTCCAGGCTAGTCTCAACTTCCTGGGCTCAAGCCATCCTCCTGCCTCAGCCTCCTCCAGGATTATAGGTACACACAACTGCATGGTTTAGCATTGTGAATTTTGATTCCTCGAGTGGTGTCAAGGGGGAAAAGGTACATTGCACACTTACAGTGTTTGAGTCTAAGTCCTCCCTCGTCTTGGTCAATTCATTCCACCATCCTAAGCCTCAGTTGCAAAATGTGAGTGATGGCTGCTTCTCAAGGATTGAGAGGACTGAATGAGACACACGTGTGAAGGCTCCCGAGAGGGAGCCCGACACATGGAAGATGCTCAGCAGCCATCACTGTCATCCCACCGAGGACTCTGTGCACTTGGCCCTTGTTCTTTTCCTTCTTGTCCTCAAATGATGTCCATCCCTCCAGGCCTAGGCAGATAGAGCTTTCCCAGTAAACTGTAGACAGCCTGAGCGAAATTCTATTAGGTAAACTTGGGGCTCCATGTAGCTTTGGGGACTTCAGTTTCATCAGCAAAATAGCAATGGTAACTTACCTCACACCGTTTCTAGTTCAAATTAGACATTTTGTATGAATTAGATGAATACAGTATACTGCGAAGTCGCGGGTCAGAGTTCGCGGCCTCAGTCCTTGGATTTTTCTTTAGAACCTAACAAATAATTGTTTACAGAAACCCCCGAAATTTCGTAGAAACCGCAAATATCCTCCGCAATTGTTTTTTTTTGGGGGGGGGGGACATGGAGGTTTGCAAGTAGCCAATCCGAGAGCGTTATTCAGCTCTCCTTGCTGTTGATTGGCTGCTGCCCTGTAACCATCTGGGCAGATGCACCAGCATTCCTACGTCATAACAGATTGCTCTACCGCCTGTAGCTGTCCTCAGTATTCTCGGCATTGTTCTTCTTAAAGCCCTAAGATCCTTAAGATGTAGCCAAAAGGCCCTGCACTTTCTAAGGCTTTATTAATAGTCTTTTATTAAATTAAATTACATAACTGGGGCCTGGGATTTAGCTCAGTGGTTCCACCGCCTGCCTCGCAAGCGCAAGGACCCGATTTCAATCCCCGAAAAAAAAAAATTACATAACTGCAGGAGACGTAGCATATTTAGGGTTTAAATTATGAAAATAGGCATTTTTCTCAGCATATCTGAAATTCACGGTTTTTCACAATTCGCAGGTGCTCTAGGAATGTAACCACTGTGAATTTCAGGGGTCCACTATATTGTTGAATGGATTTGAAAAATGAAGTTCCTTGGAAATCTTGAGTATTATTTGTAATCTCCCCCACCCCAGTATTTAGTAATGGGCCTCACATTTACTTGCCATCAAGAAAGAATTGCAGGGCTGCGGATTTAGCTCAGTGGTTCTGCCGCCTGCCTCACAAGCTCAAGGTCCTTAGTTCGATCCCTGGTACAACAAAGGAAGGAAGGAAGGAAGGAAGGAAAGAAAGAAAGAAAAAAGAAAGAAAGAAGACCAAAAGAGGCATTCTACAGGAATAATACAATTTACTCTGGTTTTAAGCAAAATTTCTTCTTCATTCTCACCAGGATCAAGATGACCACACCCACGATTTTGGGGGATACCACCTTCTCGTTGAACATGACCACGAGGGGGGAAGACTTCCTCTATAAGAGTAAGGTCAACGTGGGTTGAAGGCAGGGGAGGGTTGGCTGGACAAGTGTCAGAGTCCACTCGGGGCTCAGAGGTCAAGAGCTTGGGTCCTGGAGACAGAATGTGGGTTCTCTGTGCTGACCCAGGTCCACCACTTGCCAACTGTGTGGCCCTGAACACTAGATTTCTGTGCTCTGGGCCTCAGTTTCCTCATCTATAAGATGAGGACATTCATGAAGCTGCCACATAAGACAGCTATATGAACTCAAACTTGAAGACATCACTAAATCATGTAAAGATATTAGCCTCCAGTGCATACTCAGTACCTAACCAGCACCATTATTAGAGTCCTTGCTACTACTGTTACTGTTGTTTTCATTATGGGGTCTTGGGGTCTAGAGGGCAATGGGAATTGGAATCTCTTTTAAGATGTCTCTAAATAGGTCACTATGCAGTGTAACTCCTTTCATATTATTTTTGCAGGGCAAAAACATCCCATCACCTTATAAAGGAACAAATAGAGATTGGAAATGATCTCTTGGGGAGATATCAAAGACATTTCAAATGAAAAATTTGAAGACAGCTATTCAGAAAACAAACTGATTGTTTAGGGAGATGTTTGGGTCCCTTCTTGCCATTTCCGTTGGCTCTGTGTGTAGAACTCAAGTTTCCCCTTAGGCAGGGATGACTTCCTTCTGTGACAGACAGCCCCAGGCTGCAGCACCTTTGGTGGCCAGATTCGGGGCAGGAGACCATTAACCTTCCATGGAGACCCAGCAGGTGGCTCTCAGGACAGGGCACGCAGGGATATCCTGCTCCTTTCTGGGTGAGCGGCCTGACCCACCAAGACCCACTGTGAGTATCTCCAGACAGTTCCGAGGGGTGGACCAGGGTGGGCCAGCGACTGTCAGCCAGGTGGGAATAACTGTTTTTACTTAACCAAAAGCAGTGGGTCTTCACTAGGCAATTTTATCCTCCTAAGTAGAGTTACCAGACTTAGCAAATAAAAGACATTTTAGAAAGGTTTATATACATTCACAAAAGTACACAAATAAGGTGGGTAAATTCTCACTAGGTGCACACACACCCGTGTAGCCAGCCCCCATGCCAGGAAGCAGAATTTACTGTGTAACCCAGGCTGACCTGGAACTCACTGTGACCCTCCTGCCTCAGCCTCCAGAATGCTGGGATTACAGATGTGCACTACCACATCTGGTTTATTTGCATAACTCTTACATGCAGTACTATATAACATGACTTAAAACTACAGTACTGTATTATCCAGTATAATCAGCAAAAATTACAGTACTATATAAACAAGGTACACTGTACCCCCCCAAAAAGACACTGAGGCTCTATAAACAAGATTTACAGGACTATACTAAAAAAAAAAAATGGGTCATAAGTCTAAATAGCGCCCCTTGGTTGTTAAGTCCAATCAGATGTTAAACAGGTATGTCATTAAGTGAGGACTTGCTTAGCATGCACAAGGCCTTGGGTTCAATCCCCAGGACTGCGAAAAGAAAAAGAAAAAAGAGGGCCAGGGATTTAGCTCAGTGGCACCATGACTGCCTTGCAAGCACAAGATCCTGAATTCAATCTCTGGTACTGGGAAAAAAAAAAAGAAAGTCATGAAGAAAAAGGTAATTACATGGAAAGATGGTTATGAGCTTTATTATAAAATAGCATATGGAAGATGGTTATATTTTTACCAAGTGACAATTTTTCCACATTTAGGAATATTTTCTCAGGATGGACTTTTCAGACATAGGATTGATAAGCTATTTTACAAATATTAATAGACATTTAATATGCAAATGTAACTTTTGTATTATCAAAACCTGGGAGGCCGGACATGATGGTGCACGCCTGTAATCTCAGCACTCTGGAGGCTGAGGCAGGAAGATTATTGCAAGTTTTAGGCCAGCCTGGACTACACAGTGAGTTCAGTGCCAGCCTGGACCATATAGTAAGACATTTTCACAAAACAAACAAACAAAAGCAGGGGATCAATTCACTTGTCTGTTTCACACAAGAAGTTTGAAGCTGCGCTGGGGCTGATAAGAATAGAACTTGGCCTAGGACAGAGTTTGGCAGATGACGTGCTGGGGATGCCCTTCAAGCCCATCGGGGTGGGTTAGGGGTGCGTGGCCACTGCAGAGGTGCCACTGTCCCAGGTTATCAGCGAGTGTCTCCTCCTTCCCTTGACTTGGTGGGGGCCGTTGTAGGCCCCACCCATCCTGCATTCAGCCTGCACATCCGCCCTCCTGGGGCTTTCCTCTCTGTAGGTGCTGGAGCCATTGTTGCTGCCATTGTGGTGGTCGTCATCATCATCTTCACCGTGGTTCTGATCCTGCTGAAGATGTACAACAGGTACAGCATGCCCCAGGCCCTGGAACTCTCTGGTCCCTTCAGTTGGAAATGGGCATAGGAAGTTTAATTCACGGACCAAGGGTTGCCCAGCCCTAATTAGCAGAGCTGGGATGTAAACTCAGTCTATCTGGTTTCAAAGAAAATGCTTCCAGGCCAGGGATTTAGCTCAGTGGTTTCGCTGCCTGCCTTGCAAGCGCAAGGGCCTCAGTTCAATCCCTGGTACCAAAAAAAAAAAAAAAAAGAAAGAAAGAAAATGCTCCCACCATTACATGTAGCAATATTAATAACAATAAGATTAAACATGATTTTAAAGATCTTTAGGATTTGGCCGGGGATTTAGCTCAGAGATTCCAGCGCTTGCCTCACAGGCACAAGGTCCCAAGTTCAATCCCTGGTACCAAAAAAACCCTAAAAAGTCTTTAGGATTTTATTTGGATTTTCCCCAAACAAAACCCTAAAAAGTCTTTAGGATTTTATTTGGGTTTTTCCCAAACCAGGAAAGTGTCAAACCTGAATGCCTGCCTTCATTGCGCTGCATCATTGCTGGAGCTCTGAACCCCTTTTCTAGGTTGTAGTCTGGGTGAAGACCCCACTTACCTCACACTGCTTACACTGATGCCTGGGCTTGGAATTGAGATGCCAGGGTTCTGTCTTTGATCTTTTGAAACCTGGTGAATTATTTAATCTCTGTCTCATTTCTGTCACTTTTACAATGGAAGGGCCGGGTGTGGTGGCACACATCTACAATCCCAGTCCTTGGGAGGCTGAGGCAGGAGGATCCTCTGAGTTTGAGGCCAGCCTGGGCTACATAGTGAATTCAAGCCGAGCCTGGACTGCATAATGAGACCCTGTCTCAAAGAAGAAAAAAAAAACAAAACAAAACAGTGGCAGGGCCTGGAAATATGATGATTATATTATGAATATGTTAGAGATGCCTTTGTTCTTAAGAGTAGTGTCTAGCTTACAGATGGTTCTGGATTTTTAAAAAAACTCTGCCTGCATCAAGTATAGTGGCCCACACCTATAATCTCAGCTACTCAGGAGGTTGAAGCAGGAGGATCACAAGTTCAAGGACAGCTTGGGCAATTTAGCAAGATTTTTGTGTCTTAAAAAAATTTTTTGGGGTCAGTCTCTTTGCAGAAAAATCCCAGACTCCCCTGCCGGCATTAAGAATAAAGGTGTAAGGGGCGGGCATTTAGCTCAGTGGTGCCACAGCCTGCCTCGCAAGTGCAAGATCCCGAGTTCGATCCCCAATACCAAAAAGACAAACGAACAAACAAACAAAAAAAACAAGAATAAAGTTGTACACTTTGCCTCTGGGGAAAAAAATTTTTTTAAATAAAACTGTATGTTTATGCATGCATGCATGAAGAGGGAGAGGGAGGGAGAGAGAACAAGAGAACTGTTAACACTTTGGTGATTGTTCAGTGAAGGATTTTGGGGTATTGTACTATTTGTGCTACTTCTTTGAGAATTTGAAGTTTTAAAAAAAGAATTATGGGGCTGGGGATTTAGCTCAGTGGCACCGTGCCTGCCTCGCAAGCACAAGGTCCTGAGTTTGATCCCCGGTACCAAAAAAAAAAAAAGAATTATGATACAGTAATAAGGTGAAATATGTAGACATTAGAATTCATGATTGTTGTTAGTTAAATTTTATGGCATATGAAATGAAGACAGGATACATGTTTTAAGTACATGGCTTCTCAACTATGTAAAAAGCCCTTAAATATTTCTAGCAATAAATCTAGCAAGCATAATGATCCTGCAAAATTTAACTCACACTAAAACTTTGAACAGAAAATATATACAGTAAAATTTTCATTTTGTCTTGAATAAAGCCACTTCTCTGAAACTGTACTTATTCATTAATAGGAACAAATAAAATTAAATATCTTTTAAAAATTGAATAATCTAAGCTAAACAAAAAATGTAGAATGAGACTAGTTGATGTCTAAGTTCTCTTCTGGTGTAAAATTCCATGGCTGGCAGTGAAGCAGTGTGAGTTTATGGTGATCTGCATTCACCTCTTTGACATGGAGCTGTAGCAGGGAAGGGAGAAGACTCAACCCTGTGTGTCTGTGTCATTTCAGGAAGATGAGGACGAGGCGGGAGCTGGAGCCCAAAGGCCCCAAGCCAGTTGCTCCTTCTGCCATGGAGCCAAACAGCAACAGCACCCAGCAGCCTGCAACAGTGGCCTTCAGCCCTGCTGACCTCCACTCAGAGACTCGGTGACCCCGTCCCACTACCATCCCTGCCACTGTCCAAAGAGCTTTCCCCCCAAGTGGAGACCCAGAGGCACATTCTCTGGTGGCCTCACTATGAGTTCCTTCTGGTCAGGCCGTCAGAGCGTCTTTCATACAACCCCCTCAGCTTCAGGCAGTCCTTAACCTGGTCCTGCCCTGACTCACCCTGTGTCCATATCCCTGCTGCCACCCTATCAAAAAGCTGTGGAACATGATTGTATTAGCTGATGAGAGATCTCTGCTGAGAATCCACTGAAGTGGGTTGGGCTGTCTCCTCCCAAATGCTGTAGCTAGTCAGACAGACAGACAAGCTTGCAGGCAGACAAGCAGACATATAGTCCTGACTCTTGGTCAGGAGTCAGGGCTCAGGGAATGCTGCTGAGAGTGTTGCACAGGGTCTGCCACTGGGCTCATCTCAAATTAAGTGCCAAATCTATAGCTTTGCAGAGCAAAATACTCAACCCCATCATCAGGGGCAGGGAAGCTAACTTGGACTAACCAGAAAGCCAACTTGTTAATTTATAACCACTTCCAGTACTAGATGACCGCTAGATGACCAATGATTGGTCAACACATTTCTCCCTCTTTGAGAAAAGTTACAAGAAAAATGGAATTTTTTTCCCCAAGAGGTTTCTGCTTCCTTAGTAAAGAGTCAGAAGAAGGCACAGGATGACTTTGAGAAATGGTGGCCTCTAGGACAAAAGCTTGTTGCATTGTTGTAGGCCTTGACCGATCCTGGGAGCTGGTCAGGGCATCTCCTGTCCTTCTGGGAGGGCGGACCCTGATTCAGTGTCATTTCTCGGCTCCCCAAGAAGCTCTGACGGTCTTGTTAACCCTTTACCTCCCAGGACCAGTATTTGGAGATTGATTACATTGTAGCTCTACATATAGGAAGCACCATATTCTCAGACCATGTCTCTGTCAAGAGCTGAGCTCTGACTCCTAGGCTGGAGAATAGTCTACCGATAAGGGGAAACATTTTGGAATTAAGGAGGCTTGCCTTCAAGCTCTACTTTCTGGTGTGTGGCCTTGGGCAAGTGACTCAACCTTTCCCTGTGTGGTTTCCTAACCATGAAGTGGAAATGGAAACACTTGCCTCCCTGGGTTGTCCTGAGTCAGGGACTGCATAAGCAGCTTGAGTATGGAGCCTGGTGCCTGGAGATGCTTAGTAAATGGGAGCCAGCATTATGCAAAGGCCCTGGGTTCAGTCCCCAGTTTAGTAAACAAACAAAACAAACAAAACTCTCTTGAATAGCTCTGGAGAAATACTAGTAAATTCTTCCTCCTCCTCCATCTTCTCTTCCTTCTGCTCTTAAATTTCCACCAAGTACCAGGCACCCTGAAAGGTGTTTTCACATCATTTATCTCAAAGGATTTGATTTTCCCAATAACCGTGGGAGGTATTATTTCCCATTTACAGATAAGAATTTTCAAATCAAGAAGAATAAGTACTTGCCCAGAGTCACACATGCAGCTGGTAAGTGGCAAAGCCAAGAAACAACCAGTTTCCCCTGAACCCAGAGGGCAACTTTCTGTCACATCACTCTTGTCCAGGAGTTTGTGTGGTGCGCAGAGATCTGGCTTCTGAACTGAAAGTGGGAAGTGGGGTGCAGGCCCTTTGGCTCCATCCTTTGGGCTTCCATGATCAGAGCCAAAGAACCCATTTCTCAGCCCACCAAGGCATGATTCCTGCTTCACCCATTGCTTGGGCCCAAGGGGAAAGGGCTGGGGACCAGGGCACATTTGTTTCTTTGAGGGCTCAAATCCCCAGCATATTCATCTCCCTACACATTTTCTGCTCTTTTCTTTTTTACTAAAATTGTCTAGAATGTTCCAGACTTCTCTGCCCACAGTGGACGCTTCCTGGAAGCAAATAGAAGGATTTTTGTGTCTCACTTTTTACTAAAGAAGGCAACTCAATAAGCAGGCTGGAAGGGCTCTTATGTGGCAGCTGAGGTGCTACTGCATGCATGCAGACAGGTCTCTGCGCTCCAGGAGCCAGCAGGAGCCAGCATGAGCCTCCGTGGTGGGGATTCGAAGCTATGCATTTTGTTTCTGACCAGGTGCCTTTCTTAACTGAGCAGATGCTCCCTCATTTGGGCACTGAATCAATGAAAGATATTAAACACTTACAGAAAAATGTTTAAAAATAAAAGAGGTTTAAATCAGACACGTGTCACATTGATTTCAACTAAATTTAGAGCTAACAGATACCTTTTCTAAATACGTCCTTTCCCTGACAATGTAAGTAGGCCCTATGGGATACCCTATGCCTTTGTGCATACTGTGTGATTTCTAAAGCCTCAGGGCCAAGGTGGGCTGCTGCCATCAGACCTGTGTATTACAAACCGTGTTCACTTGATCAAATATGACAAAGGGAACCTACTTTAACAGACTGCAGTTAAGCATGAGATGCTGAGATGTCAAGGTAGGGGGACCTCTGGAACCATAAGAGGATGAACTTCAAATTACCAATAATGATATTTATCATGAACTACAAGGAAGTTCCTACTCTGCCAGGCATATGATAGGCCCTTTATACACCAGAGCTCCTTTGACCCTGTATAACCTCCCAGCAGTAGGAACCATCACTGTCTCTACTTTATAGATGAGGAAACAGGTTTAGGGAGGTAACTTGGTGATACAATGGATAGTTTTCATTCTTTTGGCGACCACTTTTATGTTTGGGGAATCCTTTGCTTTAAGAATCAAGACCACCTTATGCTACAAAAGATTAAAAAAAAAAAAAGCCAGACACTCATTTTCTCAGAGTCCCCTTGCAGCTAGTATAAAGCCACATGACCTACACCATGCTAATCAGACACTCTTGCCATGGTTGTTCATCTAAAAGCCAATGACATGAAGGGACAGGGTCTGTGCAGAATCTGCCCTGGTGGCAGTTGTGTGGCACCCTCCATTATAAGAGGCAGCAATGCCATACAGGTAGTATCATTATCAACTGTTCATGGAGCTGGACCTGTGAGATCTTCCCAATAACAGCAGTATGGCGTTTGTGGCAGGCTAGTGCCTTAGTATGATTTTAAGCAGCATACCTGTGAACCTGGCAACACCAAGAACTACTTATCCCCTGTTCTGCTTAAATCAGCTGTATGTGGCAGAGAACCGTATGGCTGTGGGGGATTAGTTCATGGTCACTCACCTGGGAAGTGGCTGAAACTGGAATCCAGGTCTCCAAAGCCTTTGCTATTTCCATACAAATGTTTCTAGGTAAGACTGTCACCAGAGGATTCCACAAAGTGCTGTGGAATCAGAGAAAGTAGAGTTGCCTCCAATTACAGGTTCCCCAGAAACTTTGTGACTTTTAATAAAGAGGCATTTAGGGTCAGGGATTTAGCTCAGTGGCGCCGTGCCTGCCTGCGAAGCACAAGGTTCTGAGTTTGATCCTTGGTACCACATGCAAAAAAAAAAAGACTAGGAGAATGGATAGGTCTTTCTAAGTAAATTTTTTTTTATATCCAAGTACAACACAAGTACACACACAGAGCTTGAAAATATTCACAGTTTAACATTTTTTTCTCAAACTGATCACACCCATGTAACCAATATGAAGATAAAGAAATAAAACATTACTCCACCCCAGAAGCCTCCTTCTTCCTCTTCCTACCCTGCTCTCCTCCCACAAAGGGTAACTGCCATCCTGACTTCTACCACCGTACAATACCCTAAATTCTATTCTATTGCTCTATATTTGGGGGGGGGGTGGTTGGTACCAGGGATCGAACCCGGGACCTTGCGCTTTCGAGGCAGATTGCTCTATATTTCTATTTGTATGCCATTATCACATCATCTTGGTTTACTGTACATTTTAAAATCAGGAAGTGTTACTCCTTCAGCTTTGTTCTGTCCTCTAGCTTTGTTTCTCTTTCTAAAGATTATTTAGGCTATTTGGGGGTCTGTGTATCTCTGTATAAATTTTAGCATCAGCTTAACAATTTTTTTTTTTTTTTTTTTTTTTTTTGGTACCGGGGATCAAACTCGGGTCCTTGTGCTTTCGAGGCAGGCGGTGGAACCACTGAGCTAAATCCCTGGCCAGTTCAACCATTTTGAAAAAAAGGCAACCAGGATTTTGATAGGGGTTGAGTCAGATTTATCATTCAATTTAGTAGTATTACCATCTAAAGCCTTTTTTTTTTGTTTATGCTGGGGATAGAACCCGAGTCCTTCACACTGAGCTACATCCCTAACCCTTTTTATTTTGAGACAGGTCCTTGCTAAATTATCCAGGCTAGGTTTGAACTTTCAATCATCCTGCCTCAGCCTCCCAGAGTGCTGGGATCCCAGGCATGTTCCTCCGTGCTCAGCTAATATTAAGTCTTTTGACCCATGAGCATGGATGTCTCTATAACTGTTTTCAAAGAAATTTTGGAATTTTCAATGTCCCTTTTTATTAAATTTATTCCTAAGTATTTTATTCTTTTTTATGTTATTTACATGGAATTTGCAGAAGAAAAACTGAAATTTCCTTTTCAAATTATACATTGCTAGTATAGTGAATGAAATTTGTTGAATTTATTAACTCCCACTGGTTTGGGGAGGAATTGTGGGGTCTTTAGGGTTTCTACATATTGATCATGTCTTCTGCAATGGAGATAATTTTACTTCTTTTGTAATGTGAATATTCCTTCTGTTTTGTATCTTTGCCTAATTTCTCTGCCTGTAACTTCCAGCACTGTGTTGAAAACAATCATCCTTGTCTTTTTCCCGATCTCAGGGGAAAGCAAGCCCGTCACTATTAAGTATAATATTAGTGAGCCAGGGATTTAGCTCAGTGGTTCTGCTGCTTCCTCGCAAGTGCAAGGTTCCAAGTTCAATCCCCAGTACCAAAATAAAAATTGTGATTTCCTAAGTATAATATTAGCAATGAGTTTTCATAAGTGGCCTTTATTCAGTTGAAGAAGTTCAGTTCTATTCCTAGTTTAAGTGTTTTTATCAGAAAAGGGCAGGGCTGGAGATTTAGCTCAGTGGCCCTGCCACCTGCCTCGAAAGCAGAAGGTCCCGAGTTTGATCCCCCATTCCAAAAATAAAAGAAAAAGAAAGAAAGAAAAAGAAAAGGGCATTGGATTTTATGGAATGCTTTTTCTGCATCTGTTAAGAAAATAATCACATGGCTTATGTCCTTTGTCCTTTATTCTTCTAATATGTTATATTACACTGATTTTCATACTTTAAACCAACTTTGCATTTCTGGGATAAATGCCACTTGGTCCTGGAGTCTTTTTTTTTTTGAGACAAGATCTTGCTGTGTAGTTCAGGCCAGCCTCATACTCATGGCAACCCTCCCGTCTTGGCCTCCTGAGTGCTGGGATTACACCACCACACCTGGTTTTTATATCTATATTCATAAGCTATAGTGGTCTGCAGTTTTCTTTTCTTTTTTTGGTACTGGTGATCGAACTCAGGACCTTTCGCTTGCAAGGCAGGCTCTGTGCCACTGAGCTAAATCCCCGGCCCTGTACTTTTATTTTCTTTTGATGCTTTTGTCTGACTTGGGTTTCAGAGTAATACTGACCTCCTAGAGTATGCTGGAAGTGCTGCTGCCTCTTATAATTTTTGAAAGAGTTGGTGTTAACTTTAAATATGTGACAGAATTTACCAGTGCTGCCATCTGGATCTGGGGTTTTCTTTTGTTGTTTTTTAAAGTACAATTATAATTCAAGCTGTTGTTACTGGTCTATTCACATGTTTTATTTCTTCTTAAATTGGTTTTGGTGATTTATGCTTTTTTAGGAATTTGTCCATTTTGTCTAAGTTAACATTCAATTTTTCAGTGTTTCTCTACAATCCTTTTTACTTCTAAAATATCAGTAGTTGGGCCGGGGATTTAGCTCAGTGGTTCCGGCACCTGCCTTGCAAGCACAAGGTCCCAAGTTTGATCCCCGGTACCTAAATAAATAAAAATAAAAATAAAATATCAGTAGTGATGCTCCCTCTTTTTTATTTATTTTTTTTTTTTTGAGACAGGGTCTCATGTAGCTCAGGCTGGCCTTGAACTCACAGCCATCCTCCTGCCTCAGCCTCCCAAGTGCTGGGATTACAGGTGTATGCCACCATACCCAGCTCCCTCTTTCTTGACTTTAGTAATTCAGCATTCTTTTATTTTTGTCCCTTACTTGGTTCAGCTAAAATTTTGTCTTTTTTTTTTTTTTTTTTTTGAGAGGATCTCCCTATATAGCTCATGCTGCCACTGGACTTGCTATGTAAGCCCAAGCTGGCCTCAAATTTGAGATCCTCCTGTCTCAGCTTCCCAGTACTGGGATTACAGGCATGTGCCACCACATCTGGCTAATGTATTTTGTTACAAAAAATTTTTTTGATTCTGTTTTTTTTTTTTTCTGTAGTATTTGTCTATTCTATATCTGCCCTTCTAAATCCCTTAATGGTATTTTATTGGGTTGTTTTGTTTTTTTGGTTTTTTTTTTTTTTTTTGGTACCAGGGATCCAACTCAGAACCTTGAGCTTTTGAGGCAGGCAGCGGAACCACTGAGCTAAATCCCCAGCCCTCTTAATGGTATTTTAAGTGAACACGTTTTAATTTGAATGTTGATCAACGTTTTCTTTTATCATTTGTGCTTTGTATCCTGATTTTTTTTCTTTGTATCCTGCTTAAGAAATCTTTGTGATCTAAAGATTATGAAGATTTTTCTTCCAAAGTCACATTCTTTTTACGTTTTCCATTTGGATATGTGACCCATCTGAAATTGATGTGTGTAAGGTAGGGTCAAGATTCCTTTTTCCAAATTAAGACATGTTATGTACATGTACCAGCTCCTCACAAGGAACGTAAGCATTATGTCATACAAACGAGCACTAAAAAAAGAATATAATGAGGCACTCTAAAATGGTTAAAACAGCAAATAATCATGTATATTTTATCACAAAAATATCACAAGTAGCCCACAGAGTCATTGTAAAGTTTAAAAGACAATATAAGGCGCTAACACCTACAAATGCTCAGAAAATGTTGGCTATCATTGCCCTCATTTTGCCCCTCTTCCTCCTCATCATGAGGTTTTCCCATTCAGAAAGGGATCTTATCTCAGAGGGCTATCAATCCTCCAACTGCCTAGAAAGAGGGCCTTGGTCGGGCCTTACAAATAGGATACATATTGTGAACCTTGAGACTAACTGGATACATTTTCAAGGCTAACAGAGAGGACATAACAGAATACCTGTTGTGAATACTAAAGCTAACAGGATAAACATATATATTTTGTGGTGGCTTACACTGTGATTATATAAAGTATCACTCATTGGGAGGGTTTGTGGATCTGCCTGTTTCTGGATAAGGCCTGTGAGAATTCTTAAGGCTTAAAGACCTGAAAGTTGAAAACTTTTTTTTTTTTTTGAGACGGTCTTGCTGTGTGGTTCAGGCTGGCCCTGAACTCACTATGTAGCCCAGGCTGGCCTTGAACTTGTGGTGATCCTCCTGCCTCTGCCTCCTGAGTGCTGGGATTACAGGTGTGTGCCAGCATGCCTGGCTAAAAGTTTAAAACTTTAGCAATAAAACTTCCGAACTGAGAGGAATGTTCATTTCTTCTGTGATCTTTCTTTCCTGCTCATTTTTAAAAGTGCATACCAAGCATTGGGGTTAAAATGGTCAGCAAGATAGACATGATCTCTGACTTATCAGAACATATTAGAAAAAGAGCTTACCACCTAGGAGGGGAGACTACTACCAGGCCTATTGGTACATACCTGTAGTCCCAGCACTAGGGAGGCTCAGGCAGGGGGATTGCCGTGAGCTCAAAGCCAGCCTGGGCTACACAGTCAGTTCAAGGCCAGCGTGAACTACATAACGAGACCCTATCTCAAAAATAAATAAATAAATACAAACAACTACAACATGGAACACATCCTTTTCAGCCCGGAGGCTCATGGGTAGGGAAGGTTATCAGGAAGAGCGCATCAGGAGGAATAACTCTACACTGAGAATGAAAGACTGAGTAGGGGTGAATCAAGGGAAGAGTGGGAAGAGAAAAGAGATTAAAGAGGACTGGGGATTTAGCTCAGTGGTTTCGCTGCCTGCTGTGCAAGCGCAAGTACCTGAGTTTGATCCCCGGTACCAAAAACAAAAAAAAAGAGATTAAAGAGAAAGGGAGAGAGAGAGAGGGAGGGAGAGAGGGAGAGAGACAGAAACTATATGGGAGAGAAGCTTTAGTTTAGCAGAAGTCCAAAGGAAACAGTGGGAGATGGGTTGGGAAGAGAAAAGAGGCTCTCGTTACAGAAAGTATTATAGACAGGCTAAGTTATGTAGAAATTCATATGCAGTCAGAGAGGGACTGGGCTCTCAAGGAAGTCAGTGCAGAAGATGAGCACACATCAGATCTGGCTGGAGGCACATCTAAAGAAAGTGAGGCTTGCCAGGGATTTAGCTCAGGGGTTTCACCGCCTGCTGCCCAAGCGCAAGAACCTGAGTTCAATCCCCAGTACCAAAAAAAAAAAAAAAAAAAGAAAATAAAGAAAGTGGGGCCTTGAGATAAAGTCACAAAGGCTAGACTTGCATACCTCCCTAAGGGATGAATGGAAACTGGAGATTATACTGTCATTGGTACCACCCTGTCCATTAAATCCAGATATGCATCAGACACCACAATGGGTGACCACAACACCTGGACTCATCCCTTCCCCAAATTGTTCCTGGTTTAGAAGTCTTTTTTTTTTTCTTTTTGGTACTGGGGATCGAACTTGGGTCCCTGTGCTTGCAAGGCAGGTGGCAGAACCACTGAGCTAAATCCCCGGCCCTAGAAGTCTTAAAGAAGCCAAGGTTAGTGATTTCAGTTGTATAACCTTGCTATGTGCATGCCCCACTTCCCTACTGGATCAATATTAGCTAAGGGACTATTCTCATACTCTTATTGGTTGATTATAGTTTGGTCCACATTGTACCCATCTTGTGATTCTGTACCCACCTCGTGATTTTGCACTATAAAACAGTATTGGAGAGGCAGGAATTTAGCTCAGTGGTACTGTGCCTGTCTCACAAGTGCAAGGTCATGAGTTCAATCCCTGGTACTAAAAAAAAAATTTCTTGGAGAAATGACCTCTGTGGCAATCCACCCCTCTGGAGCTATTTCTCAATAAATCTTTCCTACTCTTTTTTTTTTTTTTTGAGACAGGGTCTCGCTATATAGTCCAGGCTGGTATTGAACTCACTATGCACCCCAGGCTGGCTTCGAACTTGCGGCGATCCTCCTGCCTCAGCCTCCCAAGTGCTGGGAATACAGGTGTGCACCACCATGCCCGGTTTTTTCCTGCTCTTAACCTTCATTGTTCCTTGGAATTCATTCTTCGACTTTGGGTGACATGAACTCAGCGCATCTGACATATAGCAGGTTGGAAGTTACATTTCTCTGTATCAGAAGGACCTCCAGTTCTTAGCTACTTTAAAGCTATGGGGAGCCACTGCAAGTGCTTGAGCCTGGAAGTGCCAGGATCAGACCTGTGCTTTCAGGAAATTAATCCTGCCATAGTGTGAGCGTGAATTGCTGTGGGAGAGACTGGAGGCAGGGAGAACAATTTAGTCTATTGCAAGAAGCAACAGGAGCATCTGTGTATCTGCTAATTTTTAAATGGCTATTCTAAATAGCCTTCTAATTGTCAAGTTTTTGTTCCTTTTCTGTTTTTCAGTAGCTATTTGTGGGTGTACAGTAACCCAACAAAAATGTCTCCAGGAATCGTCTCAGGCCCACTGGATGGCACCACACATCAGGGCCATTGTCTCAACTCTGTAGCCCTTTGTCCTGGTTCACCGTCCCCTGTTCAGAGAATTTCCTGGCAAAGATGCAAAGAGCCACGGCTCAGCAGATACAACTGTCCTGGACTCAGACTCTGATGACTCCCCATTTGTGAGAAGCAGGTAAAAGACACAAGACTGACCTTCAGGTCTCCGGAGTTATAAAATCTTCTTTGTCTGATTACAACCCGCGTGTTATCACAAGAGGGTTCCTTCGGTTCAGATTTAAACTCTCAAATAAATTTCTCCTGGGCCCCAGTGCTCTTACACTGTGCCTTAATTGATCTCAGAAATATAGCAATTTATTTTTTTCCAGCTTTACACTGTCACCTAGGAGTGAAGAGACTTAAAAAAAAAATCATTGATGTGTGAGTATTAATAGCCTTGAATTGGAGGGCTTGAAAATAGGCAGTTTGCTCTGTATAGTAAAGGACAGGAGGGTCCTGTTGGTTGTGCCTGTGTGCTGCATCTCCCTCCCAGGGAGCCCAGGTGGGGTGGAAGCCTGAGGGTGAGGGGAGCCCAGGTGGATAGGGTCTGATGGTGGAGAGAGCCCAGGGAGTGGGGCGTCTTAAAACCCTTTTCCTCTTTCTAATCTCTTCAGCCACTCTAAGTGAAGTCACTCTCACTTCTGCCTGTACCACTGTGATAGCCTCCTGACAACTCTCCCAATGTCTAGTCTTGCCTCTGAACAATACTGTGTTGATCCTCTAAAATCAACCCACATCAGAGCCAGGTGAGAACTTAGCTCAGCAGCACAGCGCCTGCCTGGTAAGCACGAGGTCCTGAGTTCAATCCCCGGTACCAAAAAAAAAAAAACCTAGGTGCAATGGTGCACAGCTGTAATCCCAGTGTTATCGGATAAGTCTTTCTAAAAGATTGGCAAAAATGATTGACAGGGTGCTGAGTCATCTCGGGGGCTTCCAGCATGCAAGCCTATCCTAGAATCCACTCTGATTAAACGACATATATGAGATGCAGTCCATGTGTACGAACCTTTAATGAGGTTTGAGTGGGGAAAAGGTTACTGAAGGTCAGCCACAAGATCTGGCAGGCATGTGATCTGGATTGGAGCTGCAGAGATTTTCTGAGTCTTTTGTTGTTTTTATTTCTGCTTCTCTTAGAACAATGGAAGAAGGCATGGCCCTCGGGTATTGCTCAAATTCAGGTGAGTAAAGGGGGAATATTCTCCCAGCCCCAGTTGTGCTGTCTGTATTGCTCCTACCCCAGGACCTTTGCACCTACAATTCTTCTTGCCTAGAATTCTCTTCCTCCCATACCCATAATTTTCCTCTTCCTCTTAAAGCAAACCTAGGCTCTAAATTCACTTTATCAAAGAGGACTACCCATAAAGTTTACATAATGTGATACAAAGTTTCTTTCCTCACCGAATATATACATATATATATATATTTTTTAATGAAATCATGTTGCTGGATGTAAACCTAGTTCATTATTTTTGACCACTGCATAGCATTCCATCAAATGCCACATTTTTCTTACCCACCTCCTTAATGATGGACATGAGGGAGGAGATTAGGACATGGCCAGCTGGCTGAGCAAGTGGGCTTGAACTGCCAATCACAGAGATCCAGGACACATGTGCAGAACAGTTTGCAAGCCGGGCATCTGGAACCCATCAGAAAGTGCTATCTTCCATTCTTCTGGTGCAAAACCAAGCAGGTTTTTGATAGGATAGCCTAGGTGCGATGTCAGCCTGAGGAATAGGAGATACAAAACACAATGACCAGTAACCTCCTCACCACTCTAAGCTCTTCAGTAGCCTGCTGTCACTCTGCAGAGCATACTTATTTTCCTACTGTAATTGGCCCACACTCACTGTGCAAAGAATATTTCTTGTGCTACCCTTAATAAATATAAAATCTGCTACCTTTGTGCATGTCTTGACAATTCTTTGTTCAGGACAAGAAGAACCTGGAAAGGATCTCTAGAAGGGGCCCACAGCACTCCAGAACCCCAGTAATATTTTTGGCAAAGCCAGCCAGAAGGTAAGGACTTTTGGGCACAGTTTTGTTTCTGTCTTTCTCTCTAAGGTCTCTGGACTTAGGCAAAGAAGGAGTGAGATAGATTAGGCCATGGCAAAACTGTCTGGGGAAGTAGCCATGACCTGCTAATTACAAGAACCCAGACACATGCGCAGACCAAATTCCCAAACCCCTATATGTGGACTTCTTGTGAGAACTCAAGCAGGCTTTCAATAGGATTGCCCGGATCTAACATCAGCCTGAGACGTGGGATCCCAGCACCACCTCTCAGGACCCCTACGTAGAAGTTCTCACAAGTTTCCTCATGATCTGGATGGCATAAAAAGACTCCACAAAGAGCTTGCTATCGTGGCTTTCCTCGTGATATCCTACCTTGTGTCCTCTGGGTGTATTTTTATCTTGCTTTTTCCTCTTTTACTCAGGCCAAGCTCGCTCTGCAGAGCCAGTTTCTCCCTCACTCTTTGCTTATATTTTTTCAAATATACCTTGATACCATTTTTCACTCATTTCATCCAATTCTTTGTTGAAGATGAGAAGATCCTGGAAACTAACTCCAGACTCCTTGGACACCTTCTATCCCCACTGGATGTCTCATCCTGCTCCTGAGAGAGGTCCCAGTGTAACCAGCTCCCTCTAGCTCTTGGGTCCTTGTTTGGGGGCAATGAAAATTGAAGCTGACAAATCAGCAAACAGCAAGTGGTGGGGAATGGTCAAATGTGTGTTTATTAGAAAAAATAAAAGGTGGGCTGGGGATTTATTTAGCTCAGTGGTTCTGGCACCTGCCTTGTGAGCGCAAGGTCTGGAGTTCGATCCCCAGTACCAAAAAAGAAAGAAAAAGAAGGAAAGAAAAAGAAAAAATAAAAGGAAAAGCCCCCCAGTAGTCAGGGAGGGGTTCTGTAAGCCGGACACTGTAGATGTTTAAATCCATTGGTGGCAGCTGCTGCTGCTACTTCTTCCTCTTTGTCTTGCTTCTACTTCCTCCTCTTCCTCTTTTTTTTTTTTTTTTTGGTACCGGGGATCGAACTCAGATCCTTGCACTTGCAAGGCAGGCAGTGGAACCACTGAGCTAAATCCCCAGCCCTCTCTTCCTCTTCTTTGTTGTTGTTGCTGTTTTGTGTTTTGAGACAGGTCTCATTATGTAGTCCAGGCTAGCCTCGAACCCACAGTGACCTGCCTCAGGCTCCTGAGTGCTGGGATTACAGGCATGGGCCACTACACCTGATGAAATCAAGGAAGCTTTTGATTGTACAATCTAGATCTAATGCCAGTTTGAGGAATGGGAAATATAATAGATTGTGGCCATTAACCCTGTCACCCCTGTGCTTGCTTTCTTCAATGGCCTGCTCTTACTCTGCGTTGCATACTTCTTTTCCTACTTTAATTGGCCCACACTTACTCTAAAGAACATATTTCTCTTGCTACCTTTAATAAATATAAAACTTTGCTACCTTTTACACACCTTGACCAATTCTTTGTTCAGGACAAGAACCTGAAAAGGGTCTCTAGAAGGAGCCTATAGCAGGCCAGAACTCTGTTCACAGACACATGGTTTGCTCTCAGTTCCAGTACAGACACAGAATGCAATAGACTTTCTCAACCATGCCTGCCCCACAAGCTCAAGGACCCGAGTTCGATTCCCAGTACCAAAAAAAAAAGAAATAGACTTTCTTAAACATATGCCCTACGAACCTGTGTGTCAGTTGGTTTGGGTAGTATTTTGGCTTAGGTAGGAGGTGGTTTATATACTTGGGAGTAGAATTGCTGGGTTATAAGACAAACACAAATATACATAATTTGATTAAATACATTTAAAAGACCTACCAGAGAAATTATACCTGCATTAACAATTTATGAAAAATCTTATTTCTACCACATCCTCACCAGCCCTTTGAATTATCTTGAGTTTCTAACTTGAAGCTGTATTACAGACATAAAATATTACCTTGTTGTGTTAATTTGGGTTTCTCTGATTAGCAGGTCAGAGTTCATACAGTTTTCACGCTAGAGTCTGTAGTGTTTGTGGGAGAAGAGAAAGATGTCTCCCATTCTCTGAGACACCAGTGAAATGTGTCAGTTGCATGCTCCCCTTCACTGCCCAAAGCTCGCTGCTCCCTCCTGGATTCTTGCTTTGTACTTAAGGTTCAAAGTGATTTCAAAGGTCTTTACGTGGCAACACTTTTTAAGCCTTGAATAAATACTTATTTCATTCTAGTGTTTACATGGCAGGATAGCTATAGATGGAAATCCTAGTTTCAAAGTTCTTTGACTTCAAGCCTTGAAAATAATTTTACGTGAATTTATGGTTTCCTAAATACAGTAATACATTGCTTTGTTTTGCTAATTTATTGTCCAGTTTTTCTCAGTAAATAAGAATAGGAGCAACTTGTCTTCTGAAAATTGTTGTCTTCTTTCTTTTTTTTATTTTTGTACCAGGGATCGAACTCAGGATCTTGCGCTTTCAAGGGAGGTGCCAGAACCACTGAGCTAAATCCCCGGCCCTGAAACTTGTCTTCACTCAATATTATAGTTCTAGTTTCATCTATTTTGTCACCTGTGGCTGTACATAATTCTATTTCCTTCTGCATAATATTCTACTTTTTAGGTATATTTGGGGGCTGGGTATTTGGCTCAGGGGAAGAGGGCAGGTTTAGCATGTGTGAGGGCCTGGTTCAAACCCCAGTACTAGCCTCCAGATTACAATGTATCCATTATCCTGGTGACAATAGACTATTTCATTTTTGTCTTTGAAAGACTATTGCTAAATGTATTTTATATGTATCTCTTAATGGACACACACAAAAAAGTGTGGAGTAGAAATGCTAGGTCATAAAATTTCCACATCTTGGCTGTGGTGGCACACGCCTGTAATCCCAGTACTTGGGAGGCAGAGACAGGAGGATCACTGCAAATTCAAGGCCAGCCTGGGCTACATAGTGAGTTCAAGGCCAGCCTGCATTACAGAGCAAGACTGTCTCAAAAAACAAAAAGAAAATGTGCACATCTTTAATTGTATTTGATAATACCAGCTTGTTTTCCAAAGGGTTCGTTCCACTTTACTCTCCTGCCAGCTGTATATAAGAATTCTGGTTGACCCTCATCCTTGATGACACTTTGTATTATTAGGGCTCCTAACTTTGAAGAACATAATGGATGGAAATTGATACAGGTACTTCTGGATCTTAATTTGCATTTTCCAATTAACTACAGGAAATGAGCATCTTATCACTTTATGGCTGGTTCTTCTAGGAAATGTCAGTTCAAATCTTTGCCCATTTGTCTATTGGGTTTTTTCTTGTTTGTAATTTCTTTTTAAAAAACTATTCTAAGGCCTCAGATATAGCTCAGTGGCATAGTGCCTGCCTGCCTACCTGTCAAGCAGAAGGTCTTGAGTTTGATCCTGGTAAAAACAAACAAAAAACAACCTCTAAACAAGCACTTGGGAGGCTGAGGCAGGAGGATGGACACCAATTTGAGGCCAGTTGAAGCTTCTTAGTGAGTTCAAGGCCAGTTGAACTACATACCCAGACCCTATCTCAAAACAAATAAAGGGGAAGAGGAAGTGGGAAGGATAGGGGAAAGAGGGGAATGGAATTAATATGAGAAAATGAAAAAATGGAAACAGTCTTTGTAAACAGGGGTGGAGGGTTTGAAGGGAGGGCAGGGGAAGGGGGAAAAATAAGAATCAAGATATATTATGTAAAGGTACAAATCTTCAATGATGAATGTCATTATATTGTATACCTAAAATGTACCAATAAAATTAATTTTAAAAATAAACAATTTTTTCTCAGTTATGGTAATACTGTATCAATATCTCCCAGATTGCAACTTGTGCCCCCCTCACCTCTGCCCCTGCAGTGAACTACATCCAATCCCTTTTTCTTTTTTATTTTAAGATAGGGTCTTGGTAAGTCACTAACATTGCCCAGCTCATGGTTGAATTTGTAATCCTCAGGCCTTAGTCTCCCATAGTGCTAGGATTATAAACTACAGGCTCAATTTATAATTTGTCTTTTTACTATGTGGTATCTTTTGAGGAATAAACATTTCTTGTTTTCTGTTATTGTTGTTTGCAGTATTGAGGGTCACACCTAGGGCCTCTCACCTTCCAGGCAAGGAACAAACATTTTTATCTAATGTAACAAAATGTATCAGTTGTTTCTATTTTATGGTGAGCACTTTTCTTCTACCTTCTTTAAGGAAATCTTCCTTATTCCTGAACTTTAAAGATACCTTCTTGAAAAGGTTTTTTTTTTGTTTTCCACATTTCACCTTTCACATAAATGTCTTTAATCATCAGGAAATGACTTGTGTACAGGGTACAGTGTTAATCTAATTTCATTGTTTCCACAAGCATAATCAATTGTCTCAGTGCTATTTATCCTTTCCCCAATATTTACAGTGTCCCCATACAAAACCCTATGTGATGTCTTAATTTTCATACATATGTGGATCTTTTTCCATGCTATTGTGCTTTGGTGTATTTATCAATCCTGAACACACTACATTGTCTTCACGGAGAGGGCCTCTCTACTCCAGATTTCTCTTAAGCACTCTCCTGACTATCCTTTGTTATCATCAGGTAGTTTGTTTCTAGTAAGTGACTCAACAAGTACACGTTACCAGGTTCTGGATAGCTTGCCTCTACCTCTGGAGTTAGATTCCAGCTTTTTCTCGATTCAAACAAGGAATTGAAGGAAAACAGCAAAAAGCAGTGGCAAAATTTATTAAAGAAAGCAAAAATGAAGTGTGAGAGAGAAACTGGCTCTGCAGAGAGCTTGGCCCTAGTAAACAGAAAAAAGAGGGTGAGGGCAAAGATAAAAGTACACCCTGTGGCTGGGAAACACAGCATGGCCCAACACAGAAAGTTATGATAGCAAAGACTTTATAGCTTGGATATGTCCTTTTATGCTGTCTAAATCTTGAGGAAACCCCTAGAACTTCTACATATCCTGAGAGGCACTGCTGAGATTCCACACTTCAGGCTTTGGGAACTGCGTCCAGGATCTTGTAATTAACAAGTCACTCCCACTTCCCCAGCCAGCTTTTGCCATGCCCTACTCATTTGGACATTTATCTTCTATAACAGGTTTTTTAAAACAAGCTCTTGTTATGTAGCCTAGGCTGGCCTTGAACTCTTGATGCTCCTTCCTCAGTTTCCCAAGTCCAGGAATTTTACGCTTGCACCGACACGCCTGGCTCTTCTATACTGTAACAATTTTGGAATCAGCTTGCTAGTTCTTCAAATTTCTGTTTGCATTTTTATTGGAATTTAGCAGATTCTTTTAAAAAATCAGTTTGGGGAAGACTGATATCTTTACAACAGTATAACTCCACTCATACCCTTCTTGCTCATTATGCTATTGTTGACACATATTTCACATCTCCATGTGTTTAAAAACAAACAATTTATCCCAGCACTCAGGAGCCCAAGGCAGGAGAATCATGAGTTCAAGGCCAGCCTGGATTATATAGCAAGGTAAAAGCCAGCCTGGACTACATAGCAAGATCATGTCTCAAAACAAACAAACAAAAACCAAACTCAATTTATATTAATGCTTTTGTCTTAAAGTTATTTGATATTTAAAGAATTTTTATCCAGGTGTGGTGGTGCAGACTTCCAGTTCAAGTCCAGCTGGGGTAATTTACTATTTTAGCAAGAACTTGTCTCAAAATCAATTATTTTTCAAAATAAAAAATTTTAAAAGGGGGCTGGAATAGCTAGGCATGGTGGTGTATGCTTATAATCCTAGCACTTGGGAGGCAGGTGAAGTGACATGAGTTTGAAGCCAGCCTGGGCTACACAGTAAGTTCAAAGCCAAGCCTGAACAATATAGTGAGACCC